CCTATCCCTGCGGCTAGACTGGGAAGAGGTAAAGCCCAGAGACTCCACCTTGAAACGGGGCAGGGGTGCCACGTGGGTTCTGGCCTTGAACGGAACATTCCTCATTCTGCCTCCCGCAGCGCCAGGTTTTCTCCTCCACTACTCTGCGGTGGCGGTGGCGGGTCGGCAGCTGGAGGGGCAGCTAATTTGGGGGCCCTGGTATGTGTTTATGTATATATGCATGCATCTATGTATATATGGAGTAGTTTTCATAGATATTTTCAAATATCAGAGCTCCCGAGAGTTCATCATTGCAGCTAATTAGCAAAAGGAGTTGCACCTCAGCTCAAAAGATGCCAGAATCGGAAAGATATTGAGGAGCAAATGATTGGAGACGGTTTCCCCTTTGCCCCAGAGCAGGTGGGTTTGGGTTTGGCCCTGTAGATGAGGGCAAGATCGGAAGAGGGAGAGGCCGGGGACGCATGCTCTCTGCTGGCCCACGTGGTCCCGGAAGAGTGGCTGAACCAGTGAATCCAGTGAGGGAGCTGGTGGTCCCGCCGGCCCTGCCCACTCCTGGCCCCTGGTGTTTGGCCCAGCAAGCTCAGGAGCTTGGCTTCTGCCTTCCCAGACGCTCTGTGTCTGGAGAAGTTGGATTGGAGTCGCGAAGCTCCACATTTCCAGCTGTGTGAACTCAGCCAGATCTTTTAACCTCTTGAACCCTTGGGAGCCAAAATACCAGCCCCTCAGAGGAGTGCCAGCAAGCGTCTTCAGGGAGACTGTAAACCTCTGTGGATGCCTGTCAAGACCGAGTGTTGAGTGTCTTGCTGGATGTTTGTGTCGTTTAATCCTCATCTGAGGAGTCTTTCTCCCAGTTTTACGGATGGGGTAGTGGAAGTCTTGATGAAAGGAAGTGGATGCCCTTGTTCCTGGGGCAGCCAACTGGAAGCCTCCTGTTGTCCCTCAGGCCCCTTTTGAAGTTCCTAAGATGGAGTGCTGGGACCCCAGGAGGGAGGAGAGTCACACAGGATAATTCTGGCTGAGAGCAGAGGTCTCCTTCACCTGGGGTCTTGGTCTGAGGAACTGAAGTGGGAACCTGGTCAGGACAGATCACCTTCAGGGCCTCACTTTTTGGGTGGCAGCATATTTGCCCAGTCCCCATTGAAGGTTGCAGGAGTCTAGAAAGATAGAGGATATGGGCTGGTTGGCGGAAGGGGGAGTCTCCCTTACTTCTATGAAGCCTCCTCAGGTATCCCTTTTCCAGAAAAGGCATTCATATTTTATCAACAGAGGGCCAATTATGGGGCATTGATCAGAAGTTTACTTTTGTTTCAGTGACTCCTGACAGCAGCCCCTTGGGAGGAGCTACTTAGGGTTAGAATCTAAGTCCAGGGGCGGTGAAGTGAAAAGTGACTTACCCCAGGTCACACAATGAGGGAGCAAAAAGAGAAGGGGATGGGATTTGATTCTAGGTCTGGTCTGGCCTTGCCTTCACACCAAAAACCTCGTCCTGGCATCCCCCAACTTCTGTATCTACCTTATGATGTCCCTTAGAGCAGGGTAGTTCTGAGGTTGGAGCCTGGCCCATTTAAGGGACATTTCCAGGATGAAGCCTGCCTAAGGATCAAGCCCCCACCTAGTGCAGGGAAGCTAGGTGGGCACAGGGTGCCCATGTGGACCTGGGCAATGGCAGAAATGGAGGGTGTAGCACTGTGGAGCAGATGGCCATGACAGGGTGGGTTCCCACTGTGGTCTGGGGTGTCCCTAAGGTCAAAGTCAGAGTCTTTGCTGCTCCCTTTCCCCTCTCATAGGGAAGCTGAGAGAAAGCTCCTCTTTAGGGTTCTGAAACCCAAAGGTCATTTCTGAGTGAGAAGGCTGAGACCCTTCCCATCTTCTCTGACCCTCCTGACAGCACCTTTAGGAGCCAGAAGCGGCACAGCAAGCCTTCCCCAGGCCACCGACCCCAAGTGGCATCCCCCAACTCCTGAAAGAGGAATCCTGATGGGCTCCAGATTAAAAAATCAATCCAGTTCAAAAGTGATCAGGGGAAACTAGATTCAGTTAGAGAGGGCAGAGCCAGGAGGGCCAGGAGTAGAGGGCGGGCCTCTCACTACCCCATCCTAGAGAAACTCTGCCATTGGTGGGAGAAAATCTGCACTGGGTCTGGAATGATTAAACTGTCCAGCTCTCAGAGAAGCAACTTAGTTCTTGGGAGCTTTGTCAGCAGATATACAACAGATCAGTGCAGGCTAACAGAAGCTGTGCAGAAACGCCCTTTTCCCCAACCTACTGCACATCTGGCATCTTTTTTAATTTTCCGAAGTCGGGGAAATAAACTCCGGTGTCTACGACAGACGCTATTTTCAGAGGGTTTGCTTTGGGTCTCCCCTTCCACTGGTGACCCCTAAAATCCGTAAGGGTCTGGCTTGGCGGTGTGGCGGCATCGTTATCTCCGTTATGAAGGGTAGCAAACAGAAGTCTTCAGAGAAAGGGCATTCGCCTTTTTCTTCTAGCCGCCAGTCTCTGAGAGGGCGCTGGACCCCAAGACTCTGCAGGACTGGCCTCAGTGCAGAGGCTCTGGATTCTCTGGCTCTGAAGCGAGATGGGAGCTGTCCTCCCAGTGGTGCTGAAACTCGGGCTGCCTCCGTTGGGGTCACCGACAGAAGCTCACTTGTTCAGGCACATCCTGGGTCAGCCTTTCCGCCTCTGAGACGGCCTCCTCCCATCTCAGGTGAGAGATTCAGCCTGGAAGGGAAGTAGTCCACGCCATGATCATTCCGCAAAACCTTAATAGCCACTTAACAGGATTCACTGCTTTTCATCTTGCTGCCTCAATCCATTCTCCACTCAGTACCCAGAGTGGTCTTTTCAAGAGGCAAATCTGATCCTATGTAAAGTACTCATATGGTTTTCCATATCATTCAGATTAAAACTTAAAAGTTCTTGCTAGAGCTAAGAGATCCCTCCCCCTCAATGATCTAGCCCCTGTCTACTTCTTCCACCTTAATTGCCTATCAGGATGGCAGGGATGGGTTAGAACTGGCTTAATTCTGATATGTTTTGAAGATAGAACTGCTTATATTTACTGAGACATTAGAGGGGTGTGCAGGAGAGAAATAGTGGAGTCAAGGATGACCCTGGGGGTTTGAGGTTGAGCACCTGGAAGGATGGAGTTTCTATTTCCTGAACTGGGGAAGGCTGAAGGAGGAGTAGAGTTTTGGGGATGGGGATCTGAAGCTGTTTCTGGACATGTTAAGTTTGAGAGATCTACTAGATAGCCAAAGGGGATAGCCTAGTAGGCAACTGGACATATAAACTTGGCATTCAGAGGAGAGGTTCTGGCTGGAGATATTAATGTGGGAGAGGTAAGCTTATGGTCTTATCTAAAGCCATGCAGCAAGATGAGATCACTAGAGAGTAAAAGTACAAAGAAGAAAAGTGTTCCAGGGGCAGAACACTGGAGTACTTTCATTTTAGAGGAAGAAATTAAAGAAAATCAGTAAAGGAGACTGGGAGGGAGGGTCTTTGAAGAAGGAGAGAACAAAAAAAGTGATGTCCTTGAGGCTGGGGGTTGGGGGCAGTGGAGGTATCTTAAGAACAAGGGAGAGATCAAAAGTATCCAATATGCTGACAGGCCAAGAAAGATGAGGATTGGTAATTGACCTTTCGATATGGCCTCACAGAAGTCCTTTCTGTTATTTACATATAATATAGTGTATATAATTAATATATTATTAATATATAATATATTATTAACATATAATATATTATATAATTAATATATAACATTATATATTATAATATATCATATATCATATATTTAATATGATATATATTATATAAATATATAAATTTAATATATAATAGATATATTTAATATATTTAATATCTATTATATATGATATATTATGTATAATATATTATAATGTATAATTGTATATAATATATATTACATACACTATATAAAATATAATATATAAAATATATCTATTATATATTTAAAAAAAATATATATATATAGTAGAGATGGGGTCTTACCATGTTGCCCAGGCTGGTCTGGAACTCCTGGGCTCAAGCGATCCACTTGCCTTGGCCTCCCAAAATACTGGGATTATAGGCATGAGCCACAACATTTGGCCTCATTTATTGTCTCTTAACCTCCATGCCAACTTGCTTCTAAAGCCACACCAGGGTGACTACAAACAGGAAGGTTCTGGTGGAGATGGGGGGTCATTATTGAACAGAACTGATGAGGCTGTTCATGCCCCTGACCCACCCTCAGCCCACTTTAATGACCCTCCCTGTTCCAGATGAGGAACCAGGTTCAGAATTGTGAAGTGAGTAGCCCAAGGTCATACAGTTGGAAAGTAGTGGGCATGGAAGCAATTCCAGGTCTTTATTGTGCTGCAGAAGAAGCAGGAGACCCTGTGAGCTTCACCTCTAGCAGAGGGACTACCATAGTGACTCTGGAGCCAGACACTTTGGGTTTAAATTCCAGCTCTGCCTCTGACTGACTAAGTCTCTCTGTGCCTCAGTTTTCTCATCAGAAAAAAAAAAAAAAAAAGGATAATGATAGTGCATCCCTCCTAGGATTACTGTGAAAATTAAATGAGATAATACAGAAAAAGTGGTTAGCATAACACTAGTATTGTTATTACTTTATTATTATTACCAGTGTCTGAGTCCCTCCCTGGCCATGCCAAGGAGAACCAGCAGGTAGAGAGGAAAACCAGAGCTGAGAATTTTCTGTCCCATCACCCGTGCCAGAAGAGAGAGGGCAGAGGACAGAGGAGGGGCCGCGTGACTGCCTGGGCTAGTGAGCAATTTGCTGGAGGAGCTCATTTGGTGACTCTGACTGAGTTAATTAAAGATGGCCACCAGGGGTCATTGCCATGGTGACAATTAGGCTGGGAAGGAGCCTCATTAAGGTGCGGTTTTAACAAGGCCAGTCGTTTTTAACCTGACATCTACGTGAAAGAGGGATTTTTCAAGTTGCTTCCCTTTCTTCCTTTGCTGTATTTCAGATCCATTTCTAGAGACTTCCTGTTGAAGAACAAGACAGAGGAAAATTCCTGGGTTGAGTCCCTCTGAAAAATCAACAGGGCAACAGGTTTCTTCTTTGTGGTACTACTCTGGCATCCGAAAGGAGGCCTGGTTGGCAGAGGCTTGGAAAGGGAGAGGAGGGTTGAGGTGATGAGGTCAGAGGAGGAGGTGAGGAAGGGACTCATGTTGAATTTTATTCAACATGGAACTGGAGGCCTTTTCTGGAATTAGAAAGACTGCTTCTGCCACCCAGTCACTTCCCAAACTGAGGTGGCAGGGATGGTGTGGATGGCAGTGGGGTCGGGGGTAGTGTCAAGCCTGTTTCTCCCAAGTTGAAGGGAGGAGGAAGGCAGGAGCCTCAAGCCCTGTCTTAATTCAGAGCACTTTGAAAAGTATGTATTTTTTTCTTATTTCCATAACAATACACTTGTTGAGAAAAATTAAAAATTTCACAAAAGCATAAAAAGAGAATATCTCCTGCAGTGCACACCTAAGATGGAATTGAGTGCAGTGCACACATTGCCTATGTGACAAGAAGCTGAGCACGGGCAACCAGGAGCTGGGTTTGGGGCAGGGGGAAGAGGGTAAGGGATGGGACACATGTACTTTTTCATTTATATCCTTGTCTATTGTTTGAATCTTTATCAGGAAAGTGTAAAATAAAACCAAGTTAAAATAGCATATACTACAACATTTTTTCTCTTTTTCTTCCTTCCTTCCTTCCTTCCTTCCTTCCTCCTTCCTTCCTTCCTTCCTTCCTTCTTCCTTCCTCTCTCTCTCTCTTTCTTTTTTTTTTTTTTGAGACAGAGTCTCGCTCTGTTGCCCAGACTGGAGTGCGGTGGTGCGATCTCGGCTCACTGCAACCTCCGCCTCACAGGTTCAAGTGATCCTCCTATCTCAGCCTCCCAAGTAGCTGGGACTACAGGCACACACTACCGTGCTCAGGTAATTTTTGTATTTTTAGTGGAGATGGGTTTTGTTATGTGTCCAGGCTTGTGCTCCAACTCCTGGCTCAAGCCTCACCTGCTTTGGCTCCTAAAGTGCTGGGATACAGTGTGAGCCACCTGCACCAAGGCTCCGACTCTTTTTTTTTTTTTTAAAGCACATTGTAAAATATTCAAACTAAACAAAGGGTAGACAAGAAAGGTAAGTTTCTTAGGTGGATCCCTCAGTCCCTTGGGGTGGGTTCCCCACCTCACAGGCAGTCATTAATATCAGTTTATTTTGTATCTGTCCAGAGATATTCCTGTGTTCAATCACACTGTGCGACAAAGTTAGCACACTATTCACCCTGTTATACATCTTGCCCCCGACTTTTGTTTTTAAGTTGGTCTCAAACTCCTGGGCTCAAGGGATCTTTTTGCCTTAGCCTCCCGAGTAGCTGGGACTATGGGTGCATGGCACTACATCTGGCTAATTTTTTTAAAAAAATTATTTTAAGGGGGTAGTGAGGTGAGGTTTTGCTGTGTTGCCCAGGCGGTCTTGAACTCCTGGCCTCAAGCAATCCTCCTACCTCAGCCTCCAGAGTAGCTGGGATTACAGATGCAAGTCACTGTGGCTGGTTTGCATCTCGCTTTTTTAAACTTCACTTCTATTTTAGGAGTGGTCCCATATCAGCACGTACAGAGCTGTCTCATTCTTTCTTAACACATGGCAGGCTGCTGCTGCTGAGAGTCTTTGGGTATGAACAAGAGGTGATCCGGGCTTTTAAGGGACTCACAAGGATGTATATCCTTTCATGCTCAGCATTTTGCACAGTGGTCAGCACCACACAGAAGCACTTGCTAAATGTTTATGGCTCAGTGAGTGAGTAGCAAATAAAGAGGAAGGAGTTGGAGAAGTAAATAGAGGCTAGACCGTGGTGGTTTTTTTCTTCTTTTTCTTTTCTTTTTTTTTGAGACAGAGTCTCGCTCTATCACCCAGGCTAGAGTGCAGTGGGATGATCTCGGCTCACTGCAACCTCTGCCTCCCAGGTTCAAGTGATTCTCCTGCCTCAGGCTCCCAAGTAGCTGGGATTACAGGCATGCACCACCATGCCCGGCTCCCGGCTCATTTTTTGTATTTTTAGTAGAGATGGGGCTTTAACATGTCAGCCAGGCTGGTCTCGAACCCCTGACCTCAAGTGATCTGGCTGCCTTGGACTCCCAAAGTGTTAGGATTACAGATGTGAGCCACCGTGCCTGGCCCCATGAATGGTTTTGATGGCCATGCTGAAGGTTTGCATTTTCTCTGGTCAGGGATGAGGTCCCCTGAAGGCCCTCATATGGGGGCCAGCACAGTCAGACCTGCTGTCATGGAAAGGTCCTCTGGGAGCTCAGGTAGAATCAGGGTGACCACATAGATGACCACAAATCAGGTGCAGGAGGCTGTATACTGTCCTCATATGCAGTGTCTTCTCCTTTACTGGCCCTCCTGGCAGGAGGAGTATGCACCTATCTCTGGTGAAGGTAGGCATGGCCATGTGACTTGTTTTGACCAATGAAACATGTGGGGAAGAGATATGTGACTTTTTCAGCAGAAGCCTTAAAGGACAGTAAGTTTGGGGTTTGCTGTGCTCTCCTTCTGTTCCCAGGAATGGTGGGCGTATGGGTCAATATGGAACTCCCTGCAGCCTGCATCCCTGAGTGACTTGGATGAGCAGAGGCTTCTTGCCCATGTTCAATGGGCATGTAAATAGGAGTGGGAATGAAACATGGTTTCTTTAAGTCATTGAGGTTTGGAGGGTTGCTGTCACCATAACATAGCCTACCCTGACTGATACACAGGGAGCTGGACTGGGTAGTTCCTGCATGTCTTCCAGATGTGCACAACAGGCCAGGATTCCGCCAGGCTGGCTTTTCTGTGGCTTGGGTCCACTCTTGGTTTACACAGTGGATACTCAGCCTTGAGCTCCTATGGAGACCTAGATTCATAGCCTTTCTGCCCCACTCACTTTGAGCCCCATGAACATTTCTCAGAGGTGGAGAGAAGCCTATAGCAGGAAGAAGACTGCAGCTGCTACTGTCTCCTCTGACGTCTGGCCTCTAAAGGTGGCCTTTAAGTGGTCAGAAACATGAATGGCCATGTTGGCATCACTGTAAGAGGAAGCTGTATCCATGCTCACCAGGATCCCTTTTTCTGAAAGGGAAACCGGGGCAGTAGTGCCATTTAACCCAAACCATTCATGCCATTGAACCTAACAGTTGGTTGCCACTGTTTTTCTTGTAAGAACATTTACCTCACAGGGCTGGAGATGCAGAGGCAGGGTATCCTCAGATGCCGTAGCATCAGGGCTCGGTGACATCACCAAAGATCCAGGTCCCCCACCTCTGTTCTCCATGTTGGCTTTATCCTCAGGAACATTTCCCTCATGAGCACAAGATGGCTGCCAATAGCCATCAGGCCCGTGTTGTTGCCTCCTTGTTCATGCCAAAGAGTGAAGATGCCAAAAATTGCTCTGCCCAATCCACAAACCCATAGTCATCACCAGGGGAGTGCCATCTGCCATCTGGCTCAGACCAGCCATTCTCGATCCCATCAGGCTCAGGGTTCCCTTCTCATAACAAATATTGCTATCCTGATGAAATCTGTAGAAGTGGGACCTACTTACACATGTAATTGCAAAAATAGCAATGCAATGACCTACCTCTAAAAGAAAAACAAAAGGAAATATATAATTAATAAAGTATATTTCAAGAAACATGCTCAGGCAAAAGTATTCTAGAAAGCATAATGAAACAATCAGATGCTTTCACCTGCACCTAAAAGCTCCATGAATGCAGCAGCAATGGATACAGGCAAATACAGATGGGTTTCTTGGTGACCAAAGCGCCACTGGTAACACTGCTACTAGTGACATGATTGTGTTGAGGTGGTAACTCTTGGGAAGATACCAATGAAACAAAGCATAGGCCTCCTCAATGTGCACAGTGGCGGTTTGCTGCAGTATGTTTTCAATATATATGAAAGTCTTGCAAAAAACCCTTTCTGTTAATATGTCATGTGAGATTAGATGCTAGGCTCAGATTTTTCACCTATATTCCTGTCCAGTGGAACATTTGAAAGTCATGTGGGGTTCAGGCCAAAGTTTTGCTATGTGCAACTGTCAGGAATTCTAACCTCGATCCCTGCTCACCAAATATCCATAGTGCCCCCACCATTACAAATTATGTCCCACAAAAATGTAACACCCTGTGGGATGCCGCTGCTCCTCTTGAAAATCTGTGGTCTGGTCCAATCATGAATCCTTTGCTGGACCTGCGATGGGGTGGCTGCCTGGGATTCTATTAGGAAGGAGAAGGAAGGAGTGGAGGTAGGGAGGTTACAAGTGTCTCACCAGGCCTCAAGCTCACCTGTTACTCATAGGATTCATGGTTCACTCCTAGAGTCCCTTTGTGGGCCTGAAACATCTTAGAAGACTCACAGAGGGGCTCTCAGGAGGACATTTGCTTAGGGGTATATGTGTGTGTGTGTATATATGTGTGTGTATGTGTGTGTGTGTTTTCCATTGAGCTGACTGGCATAGGGAATATTCATGCCTCTCAGTCATAAAGAAAGAATAGACAGATGGTTCAGTTCTGGTTCTGTGCCTACCAGGAGAGAATAAGCTTCCTCCTCTCAACTTTTCCCAGGACACTTACCCTCAGACATGTCCAGCTCTTCCTGCAAAGCTCCTTTCCTGCTATTATCTCATTGGACCCTTGCCTCTTGTTGGGTTACTCATATTTTTTTATTATTAACTTATAAGAACTCTTTACGTATTATATATATCACTCCTCTTTTACTTACGTTGTAGACATCTTCTTCCATAGGTCACTTTTCATTTACCTTCATATGAGGTATTTTTTGCTTCATGTAAGTTTTAAATTTTTATGTAATCAGGCCTGGGAATCCAGATGCCTTTGCATGCACCAGGATTGTGGGGCGGGGTGAGCTGGTGATGGAGGCCTGCTGTGGCGAGGGAATTGTGACACAGGAAGGCCAACTCACAGGCTTGTGCCTTGAGACTTGGCAAATGTCCAGCAGCCTGGACAGGCCCTCCCCTCCACTCCTCTCCCCAGGAGGCACAGCCATTTGCAAGGCCTGGGGTGTGGAGTTTCTCCTAAATCCCACCACATAATCCTCTGGAGTCATGAATAGCTGGCAGTGCTGTCTGAGGAAGGCCAAGAGGTCCCTGAAGGTCCTCTCTTGGCTTCAGGAGTAGGGTGTGCAGGGCATCAATGTGATCCAGTGGAGGCCACCAAGATCTGGGAGCCAGAGTGGGCAGGATGAGTCTCAGTGCACCAACTAACTGGTTGTGTGGCCTTGGGGCAGTCCCTGCCTTGCTCTGGGCTCAGCTTCCTTTTCTGTCCAGGGAGTGGGCTTGACCATTGTGGTGTAGTTTACATTCACTGATGCTGTCCCACCACTGTTGCTCCACACACCCTTGAAAGAGCCCCACTGCTGGAGGCTGCCCTCAACCTGGTGTGCTGTGACTCCTCACTTAGGGCAGGAGGGGGCTGTGGCATGAGGATGTCTAGGAGTATCCAAACCTCAGAAACTTGCTCCTGGTATGGGATGTGATTTCTGAGCCTCCCTGGTGCCTGGCTTCAGCCCTGGAAGTATAGAATGGAGGCAGGTCCTGGGGATTCCCCACTGGACTTCCCTGCCTGCAACATATCAAACCTATTAAAACACACTCACATTCTGCTCTGTGAATTATGTGACAATTGGCTGGTTGGCATGAGTTCCATTCTGTAGACATCTAATTAAACATTTGTTCA